GGGCCTGTGCTGAACACTTGGTGTTGACGACATTCCCATCTTCCCTTCTTCTTCGTCTAACCCCACCTCCTTCGTCTGTGTATGGTTGGGGCTGGCGCAGTCTTGTGTGAAGCGCCAGACCCCTTCGCACCATGATGATGATGATGTATGTTCGGGGCTGCATTACAATATTGATTGTTCGGATCATTGGTATCTAAGTCTTCCGCTGTGCTATCTTATACCTTGTATTGAAAGGTCGGTTCTTGTTCTGGTCTGCACCTATACGGTATGCAACAGGTGAGGTGTGGTGTGCCAATCGCTGATCGCAGATGCGCGGGGAAAAAAACAAAACCAAAAACCGTGATGCGTGTATACACGCTGGGGAGAGAGAGAGAGAGAGAGAGAGAGAGAGAGAGAGAGAGAGAGAGAGAGAGAGAGAGAGAGAGAGAAGCCCTTCGGCCCCCTTAACATTATTCAGAAATCCCCTGCCCGCTCTTCAAAAGTGTCCTGCCAACTCAGCAAGGATCTCGTCAGCAGGAGAAGGATAGTCGCTGGACTTGTAGTGAGGAGGGAGCAGGCCAGTTATATATGGTGTAGCTTCAAATTCATGTCCGTGTTTCAGCAGTTATGGGTTAATGACTCGGCATGCGATTTTCAGGGCTTGACTACACGACTCACCAAATGTGCAAAACTAGAATGTATCTTCTCCTAGAAACTGGAACCTTAGGGCCACTGCTTGCAAGAAAGGAAAAACAAAAAGAGACAGCTACACCAAATGTGCAAAACTAGAATGTATCTTCTCCTAGAAACCGAAACCATACATGCCATATGTTTTTCGTTTGTGAAAGTCCATATGTTTTTCGTTTGTGAAAGTGCTGATAAGTGGAGCGAGGCCGTTAGGGCCACTGCATGTAAGAAAAGGAAAAACAAAAAAACGAGACAGCTACTGTAGTGTTTGTTCGTAACCCATAACTCTTGGAACACAGACCTGAATCCGAATCCGGAATATATCACTGGCCTGCTCGTGATCCTCCTGCAGTTTGATGAACGTCATTTCAAATGTGGGGGATCCCTGCTAATTCTTTGCAGGGGACCCTTTGGAAAAGAGACTAGATCCAATGAGGAGTATGATGTGGCACCAAAGTTTTTTTTTTTTTTTTTTCTGTGCAGTGTGCACTTTACAATTTTCAAAAGGTGGGCACAAATTTGGTTACCACAGACTGCCCTTTTGATTTTTTTTTTTTTTTTTTTGAATTCGGAATTGTACCGTATCACGTCCTTGCGCACGTGTGCGTATGTGCTATGCGGCGTATGTGCGCAACTTGCGCCCAGTTGATGCGCCGCATGTATCCTGTACTAAAAACCCTCACTTTTCTTTTTCATTTGTACTGAAAATTTTGAGTGGAGAGAGGACAGTGTAAAAGAAAGTGCACTCAGGATGGAGTGTAGAACATTGATATTCTTGCATTCCGGCGGCCGGAATCGGTCATGATTACATCTCCCAAGCTTGGAGTGTTTGGCACAGTCTGACAGCACAATTACGCTAGTACGTTTACCTATGACGTTTTTGTACGTACCTAACTGCAATCCCAACCACGTACCTGACTGCAATTTGAACCAGACCTAGATTGTATCTAACAGCAATTATCTAAGGGCACACTCACGCTATCAAAGGAAGATTGAGCATCAGTCCGTATGGCCGAAGGACCCCTATCGTTTCACCAAATGATTTGAAATGACTGAAGTTGTGCCAAAATTTTGTTCGCTTTGTGTATGTGAATTCTTCAGGGGCATATTTACGCTGCTGGACCAGGTCCATAGTGGTATGGGCTTCATCGCGGTAAGTACCGCTTTCTACACCTCCCCCGTCCCCCTTCCCCCCCGGTCCTTTTTTTGGGCACCTAACTGTGCTGTGTGGAACACCCGCAATTTAACTTGTTTCTTATCTCAAATGGCTGGGCTGCATGAAAACGGTTATGTAGGGAAGCAATTTACAAGCATGATGTTTGCTACTTTGAACGCTCCACACTAACTCCAAAACTAGGCGCAAAAGAACAACCAGATTGACTTAGGGGATAAATTAAAAAGACAAACAAAAACAGAAATAGGGCCAGAGAATGCAATAGCATTATAAGGACGAAGTTGCACTGATCTAGCAAGTGCGTACAGAGTTACTCTCAAGTGTCTCTCTGGAGAGATCTTGAATATATGCTTAGATTATATGTAACTTATATGATGCGACGTATGGAAAAAAATGATTTTTTCTTCCCAGCTCATTTGGCGACTACCATCTTCCCACGAAGACAACGCACCCTCATTCTGGCTCCACCGCTCCTGAAAGATAGCTTGTATGCATTCGTTATCAGTGTGCTTTGTGTTCGGGTAAAGACGGTAGGCAAATAGGAGACATGATAAAGCAATTCTCTTGATCAGCAGTTCCTTGCCTATAGGCGGCTTGTGCGAGGTGGGGATGGCTCTCTTCTTTTTATCGTCTGTTCTTTTCATTCTCTTTTTCAAGTCTTATATTGTCTAAATACTTGCTTGAATGGTGCTTCCCAGAATAGATGGGGCATGTGCCTCCTTCTGTATGTACAAAAAAAGGGCACCTTTTTGTGGTCACCATTACTGTAACAAGTCATTTTGTTGTGACCATTACAGTGACTGTAGTGGGATTTCAAACTCATGGACTTGATTCTTTTAGGTTTTTTAATAATTTTTTATCCCTCAAGGCGTGTACCGAAAGGCTTTGCATTGTTTGGAATGTTTGTGTATTCCCCTATATCTCACATGACTGTTCTTGTCCAGCCCCCCCTTAACAAAGCTAGGGGTTGGCTCATATTAAAAAGCTTTGCATTGTTGGAATGTTTGTGTATTCCCCTATATCTGTCTCTTATACACATCTAGATGTGTATAAGAGACAGGTATTCCCCTATATCTCACATGACTGTTCTTGTCCAGCCCCCCCTTAACAAAGCTAGGGGTTGGCTCATATTAAAAAGCTTTGCATTGTTGGAATGTTTGTGTATTCCCCTATATCTCACATGACTGTTCTTGTCCAGCCCCCCCTTGACAATTTTTGTCGGCTAGGGGTTTGTCTCTTATACACATCTAGATGTGTATAAGAGACAGGTTGGAATGTTTGTGTATTCCCCTATATCTCACATGACTGTTCTTGTCCAGCCCCCCCTTGACAATTTTTGTCGGCTAGGGGTTGCCTCATATTAAAAATTGGCATGCCAATTTTTAGTTCGGTGGGCGGCTAGGGGCTGGCTCAAATCAGGCCCCCCCTCAGAGGCCTGACGGATGTTAAAAAAAAAAAAAAAAAGTTGTGGGACTCTTCACAATCCCTTAAACCACCACTTCCTTTTCTTATGTGGGCCACCGTCGGGCCCCCAAATCTTGAGGAGGCCGAAATGAAACCGGGCGCCCGGGCACCCAACTTGTGCCCGGCCGGGCATGACCCCCGGGCAGGGTTGTGGGCAGTCCCAGCACCGGAGAAAAAAAAAATAAAAAATTTCCGGGAAAAAAATGTTGTGTAGAATTGCAATACAAACGACGTTTGGCTGAGGGTCACATTGTATTTCCTCACAGAATCAGAGAGAAAAACCCCCTTAGCCCCATCAAAACCAATTTA